TTGAGTCATTGACATATTCACCTTCAAGGCAAAGGTTCATTCAAGATCTCTTCAATTTCACCATCTTCACTAACCTCTCTAATTTCATCATCTGTATTTGTTGAATCATCATCTCTAAAAAAACCCTCCAGGCCAATTACCAATTCTTTCTGATGTCATTATGCTTGTGAAAATTAGATAAAATTATATACGACAAAAATTATAAAATGAAAACTCATTATAAAGTCATTTTTTTGTAAGAAATTGTTTAACAACTGAGTGTTTCTGATTTTTTTCCAGGCCAATTACCAATTCCTTTGATGTCATTATGCTTGTGAAAATTAAATAAAATTAGATAAGACAAAAATAATAAAATAAAAACTCATTATAAAATCATTTTTTGTAAGAAATTGTCTAACAGCGAGTGTTTCTAAATTTTTTCCAGGTCAATTACCAATTCCTTTATGCTTGTGAAAATTGGATAAAATTAGATAAGACAAAAATTATAAGATGAAAACTCATTATAAAATCATTTTTTTGTAAGATTGTTTAACAGCAAGTGTTTCTGATTTTTTCAATTGAGGCTACAGTAGGAATGACAGAGAAAAGATTGGAGTGAGAAAGAGGAAAGAGAAAGGATTGAGAGGAATGAGAGAGGTGAGTAAGGGTTTGGGGGGTTTCTTTAAAATACCCTTAACCTTAAAACTTAGAATCCATGATATATAAGGATATTTTTGTCTACTAAAACCCGGTACACATTGCTAAAATGTACCAACTGAAAAACAGGCGTACGCGCGTTAGCAAACCCCTATATATATATATATATATATATAATAAAAAATTAAATATATTAGTTGTATAGTAATTATGTATAGTAAGATATTTATTGGATAAAATATCTTAGATATTTTAAGCGGTTAAGATATTATGAGTAACTAACCAGATTTTCAGATTGTTTTTATTTTACACTTATAAATATAATGACAGAGTCAAACGCCAACTACGTTCCACTTACGCGAGATGGAGTCTAGATAATATTCTACAGTGATAATATAATCACTTTCTTGAGAGCTGAGGTTCCATAACTCAGAGTGTGATAGACAACAATTGAGGAGAAGCTGAGCGTCCCAGACATTTAAAAGAAACAAAGACAACGGAAAACATCCATATCGAAACATTAGTGTTATTATTTTATTAGTTATATATTATGAAAATTATTAACAGTGTGATTTTCAAATGAATAGTATAGTTATTATTCATAACAACCATTATATGGTTCAATAACATATTGTCACACCTACTTCTACACCTAATATAAATAAGTTAATTATACATAAACTAGATTTCTATATATCCTAGATAATCTTTTTTGGAATATGAACAATAATCATACTGTGTGTATGATCTCAACAATCATAAATTTCATTTGGTTCTCAATAGCAACAATTTGTACCATCACAACAAGTTACAACAACTAATGAACTATCTCATAAGGAAGTTGTGTTATTTGGATGGAGTGAGAGAGAAACTAGAAGTCATAAATAAAATGTTGTGACAATTTTCGGTCGGGGTGGACTATGACGAATTCTGCCAAATTGTAGTTGGGACAGACTTGGTAGAATTTGACCAAAATTTGACCAAGTCCAATTTGGTTGAAATTCGGTCGGGTTAACTTGACCAAAATTTGACTACGGTGAACTCGACCGAATTTGGCCATGGCAAGCTAGGTTGAAATTTGGTTGAGGTTGACTCGGCATGAATTTAATAAGGCTGCATTGGCCGAAATTTGACCGAACATGACTTAGTTGAAACTCGATCAAGGTCGACTTAGCTAAATTTAACCAAATTTCGATCGAGATCAACTTAGTCAACATTATGATAAGATCAACTTTGCGAAAATTCAACTAAGATTGACTCAACCATATTCGTTCAAAATTCTATTGGGGTCAACTCCTCCAAATTTGGTCGGGCCGACTCGACCAAATTCAGTTGAATTTTGGTCAAGGCTTACTTTACCAATTAGGCAAGGGTTGACTCGACACTAGATCTTTGTTTTGGACTAACTTTTCTTTGATCATTGACCCTGGCCAGCCTGTCTCTACTTTCGTTCAGAGTAGACTTGTATTGCCTTCGACCGTAATGGCTCGTCTCAACCTTGGGCTTGAATCGGTCTGTCTCAACATTCAATTTGGGTCAACTCTCTCAATTGTTGTCTTTAGTTGGCCAATCTCGTCCTTCACCCCAGACTAACTGATTTGGACCTTTGATCCTAGTTAACCGATCTTAACTTTTAACCTAAGTTGACCATTTTTGACCTTTAGTCTGAAACGATCTATCTTAACCTTCGAACTATTGTAACTTATATCTTAGTTTTCAGCGTAAAACAATCTGAATCGATATATGATTATCCAAACCGAAAATATTGTTATTATCCAAAAATCACTTTACCCTAATTCTAATCCACTCCACTTGATTAAGAACTCTTGGGAATTAAAGAATTTTTTTATCCTCGAATTAAAGACCTTCTAAAATGAGATTTTTTTAGGAATGAGCTAGAGCTTCCGGTGAGCTATGGATTAAGTTGCAGCTCTCCTAATTGTATTGTACCTCTCGTCGATCTAATTCTCAGCTAGATTAACATAATAAATTTACTATTTATTTCCTCGTACACATGAACATGGGAATCAAAATCTCTAATTATATGCTTAAAATAATCTGTCCGATAGCGTGCTTATCTATAACGAAGTTTACAAGGAGGAAGAGGTGGTCCACACAATCCACGATTACCCACAAAAGCTGAAATAGGAAACATGGCCTTATGTGGAGGGATCCTCCCTCTGAGTCTGTTTCTTGACACATCGAACTCTTCAAGTTTCTTCAAATTTAGGACCTTCTCTGGTATGTTGCCACTTAATTTGTTCTTTGAAATATTAATCTTTGTTAACGTTTCGGCATCACCAAGCTCTTCAGGTATATTCCCTGAGAGTCCACTGTCTTCAAGGTCCAGAATCTCCAATTCTCTCAGTTTCCCAATTGACTTTGGAATAGATCCTCCCAACGGGTTGTGTGACAATGCAAGAGATTTGATTGAACTCATTGAGGCCTTTTGTCCAATGTTGTCGTCAATGGGACCGCAAAACTTGTTGTTAGATAGGTCGACGGAGTTGAAATGGCCTAGCGAAAATTGAACCTCTTTCTCAAACACCGCTCTCAGGGATCCTGTGAGCTTATTGGAATGGAGGTCAAGGTCCATTAGAGATGAAAGGCCCATGAATGCCACTGGGATTGACGAGTGGAACTGGTTGTTTGACAGGTTCAGGAAGGAAAGGCGAGTCATGTTTCCAATCCACCATGGCAATTTCCCCGTCAATGCATTGCTTGACAAATCAAGGGTTGTCACTGATGAATATGCAAGCCACTTTGGAAGTTGACCATTGATCCCTGTCTGGGCCAGTTTCAACTGAAAAACTCTTAACTTGGATATCCACTTGGGTACTTTGGCTAGTCCTAATGGTTTGAATGACAAGTCTAAAGTTTGCAAACTCTGTAGTTTAGCAAGTTGAGAGGGAAGTAGACCAGAAAATTGGTTTCTTGAGAAATCCAGTGTTTGCAGGTTGACTAAATTGCCAAAGGAAGGTGGAATTTTGCCACTGAATTCATTGTTTGCGAGAAATAAATCAGTTAAACTAGCTAGATCGCCAATGGTGGAAGGTAACATCCCAGTGAGTTTATTGTTCTCAAGGATTACCCTACGCACATTGCCGAGTTTTCCAATGGAATAAGGCAAAACGCCTGTTAGCTTGTTCGCTGCTAAACTGCAAAACTTGAGAGAACTTAAATCCCCAATAGAAAAAGGGAGGTTTCCTGAGAGATTATTATGCATGAGGTCCAGAAAAACCAATTGTGAAAGTCTCCCGATTGACTCTGGGATTCTTCCACTAATCTGATTATAAGAGAAATCCAAGTCCTTGAGGTTTACAAGATTTCCAATGCTAGAAGGAATGCTTCCATGAAAATTGTTTTGATGAAGGTGAAGCCTAGTGAGAAATACCATTCTTCCAACGGAAGAAGGAATCGCCCCAGAAAGCCTGTTCCCGGATAGACCAAGTTGTAAAAGAGACTTGAAGGAGGCAAAGACAGAAAAAGGAACATTACCAAACAATTGGTTGTTATCGAGGTACAAACTCTGAAGCCGTGAAAGGTTTTCGAAAGACGCGGGTACCCCACCTGAGAGCTGGTTTGAATAGAGAAAAAGTTTAGTCAAGTGGGATAGCTTGGCGAGTTGTGATGGTATTGGACCATGCAACTGCTTCAGATTGCTAAGGTCCAAAACTTGCAAAGCAGACAAGTTTCCAAGATAAGGTGACAAGGTTCCTGACATGTAGGTTTCGAGAGGGATTTCATCGACGTCGAACACGACGCCGATTCTAGTAAGGTTGATGACCCTGCCAGTGGAACCACATGCGATGCCTTCCCAACTGTGGCAGCAGTCAGACGAAGGTGTCCAGGAATCTAGCAGTTTTGAAGGGTCAGAGATGATCCTGCTCTTGAATTCTAGTAATGCTTCTTTGTCCACCACGTGACATGGCTCCGAAATTGAGGTAAGAAATGAGAAAATGAGAAGCAACATTATGGCTGCCATAGTTCAGAACTATGAATAGGTTGGTTGGTTTTTGTGTGGAATGAGGAGCGTTATGTTTTGTCTAGTGAAGTATTCAATTTATTTGTTTTCTTGTGAGATCATCACCAAAGTGGTGTATGAAAATGGCATTGGAGATGTTTGAAAAGTGATAATTGTTGATGCTTTGGATGCAGCATTTTGAAGAGAGGCATGTGCCTCTAACGGCAACTTGGATTTTCCCTGACTTGGCTCTTTGTAAGCAAGTGCCTTTAGTTCAACAAAAAGAACCTGAAAAAGAAGTTGGGATTTTACAATTATATATCCCATCACTGTAAGCAATTTTGATGTTTCAAAATCTGTGCCTCCTCAGTGGAAAATGAGTGGGATTACTATACAGAGACACTTTCACACATGCATGTCACTTACAAATCCAATATCTATTTCTATAACTAAACAAATTAAGTAATGGTTTGTAATTTTAAGAATTATTTTACCAGAAGCACCAAATTAATCGAATGTTTGTTGGTGTACAAACGAGTTTCATTGTTGTTGGTGATTTTTATTTTTATTTTCTTGCAATTGGAAGTCATGATGAAGGTGGACGATTTCAGTTTGAGATTGGCCTTCAAAGCCTCTGCTTCTGAGGTTTATGGAAAGGTTGATGGAAATATAATAGAGTAACTTCACGTCGAAGCCTCTGCTATATTGTTATTATTATTATTCCTCTTTTTCTACTAATTATTATTATTAGATTACTATCATTAATATTATATTATTATTAGTAATATCAGATGTGAAATAATGTGTATAAAGAAGAAGTTTAAAGTTGTAGTTGGAATAAAGAATCTTAAGTCAAAATCCTTATGCACACCAACAAAATTGAAAGTCATCATCTAAGTGAAACAAAAAACATACTCAAGTACTTAAGTAAAAGAAGTTTTGAAAGATCAAAAATGGACTCAGGTTATTGAAGAGAAAATACAGGCCTTACAAAAGAATAACACTTGGAATTTTGTAGATTTACTAGAAGGGAAAAAATGAGTCGAGTGTAAACGAGTCTTTTCCCTTAAAATATAAATCAAATGGGTCTATTGCTAATCAGTAGCTAGAAGGTTTACTGAGACACATGAAACAGATTATCAAGATACATTCTCTTCTATTGCAAAACTCAATATGATTAAAGTGCTACTATATCCTTAGCTACTAATTTAGATTCGTCTTTACATCAACTAGATGTGAAAAATGTTTCCTTACATGATGACTTAGAAGAAAAAGTGAATATGAACATCCCACCAAGATATACAAGCTCAACTAATAGAAGACTAGTATGTAAACTTAAAAAGGCCTTATATGTTGAAACAATCACCTCGAATGTGGCTTGGGTAGTTTAGCTTGACAATGAAGAAATTCAAATATCAACAAAGCAATGTTGATCATACTCTTTTTCTAAAAAGGAGAAAAGGAAAACTCTCCGCTATAATCATTTATATAGATGACATGATAATCATCAGAGATGACTGAGAAGATTACTAAAATCCAAGAGCACCTTAACTCTAATTTTGAAATGAAGAGTCTTGGAGATTAAAATATTTTCTTGGAATATTTTTAATTTTATAACTTTGTTTTATTAATGCTTATAAAATTAATAAATACTTAAATTTTATCTAATTTGAATTATATATATATATATATATATATATATATATATATAATTTTTTAAAATATTTGATATTAAAAAACAATAAAACATCCTTTCAATATTAAATATTTGATAATATAATATTTTTTTCTTATAATTTTTTTATTATATTAATTAATTAATATTGAAATAGTAAAAAAATCAAACAAAATACAGGTACATTTATTATCTGGTAAAGATAAGATAAGACGAATTATATACTAATTAAATATAAGTAGAAAGATTAGAATAAATTTTTTCCTTTAAAAATAAATATGAAATAATAAAATTTATCCTCACGTCATCAGCACAATGTCATCCATAATTTGGATAACCTCTCCGTATGTTCATCCTAGAAGAACAAAATAAGAAAGAAAAATGAAAATTAGCCTCGTCATATAATTTTTCTATTTTTTATGTAGGAGCTAATTTATAAAAACTTTTTTCATATAATTTTTCTATTTTTTATACTTTTATAATTATAATTGTTCTACTTTCTATCTAATAAGGTCATATTTGATAAGTTAAAAGTTATATTTGATGAGTCAAAAGTATATGACAATTTTAACTAGAGAAATTATTTACCCAAACCAAGGGCTGTGAGGATATCAGGAGAGGCGAAACAGTGCGACCACTGAAGGAGGCACGCGGCTACCATTGGTGACGGCGAAATCATGGCCAACGGCGACCGCAGGGCAAAACGCAAGCAAGGATGAAACGCGAGCGTAGAGCTTCGTCACTCAACCTAAATAAAAAAACCCTATTATGTGAGCCCTAAATCTTCACGAACTCGCCAAATTGAAAGCAAACTCGCGATTTCAGTCGAGTCTACCGATTCTACTAACGAGCCCACCGATCCTATACCAAATCCGAGTTTGCTTCCGAGTTAACTCGGAAGCACTGAGTTAGCACGTAAACTTTAATTCGCGAGTTTGATAACCATGGTTGGGATAATGCAAAATGTCTCTAGTTTGTTATCAATGGAAATTGATGGATCAGATGTGGAACCCGGGACCACAACTGACGGTTCCACCGCGAAGAAATCAAAGCGCTGTAAGAGGAAGAGTTTTATGGTGAACGAGGAAGGGCAAATGGGGTCGCGAGAGAAGCTCGCAAAAAAAATCTTGTTGTCTCTTACTAGGCCTTCCTACGTCTTGGGATTGGGTCCCAAACCTCTGAGGAAGGAAAACCGTACGAGGTTGCGCTACCTGCTGCGCAGACTCGTCAACCAGCATCACTGGGTCGAAGCAAGTGGTGTTCTCAGTGCCTATATGAAGGGCACACTTAATGAGACCTCGCCCTTCATAAATCGTCTTAAATTTTGGGTACCCTCATCCCCTTTTTCTCTTATTATTTGCTTTTCAAGTGCTGATTTTTTTTACTTGTTTGATAATTGCTACCTTTTTTATTAATATGATTTTATATATTGTTGTTATAATTTCTTTTATTCTTGATATCTAGTTAGTTTCTGAACACTGGCATGTATGCTGATCCGTGTGTAGGTTTTAATGGAGCTTCTAAATCGTGTGAAAAATAATTCTATTAATCCCACAAGAATCAAGAACCTCTATGATATTTGGTCGAAAAAAATTGGATCAATGAAGACTTGGCCTTTACAGGTATGTTTCAGACTCCCCAACTAAACGCTTTATAGTTGTTACCTTTATTGTTAAATGTTTATAAATTTGCTTTGTTAGGTAGTAAGTGTTTCTGACTTACAGCTTGTTCTAAAAAAATACCTAAAGGTTGCATTTTCGAAGTTATCTAGCTAGAGGCATGCTTGAGAAAAAGTTTGATGTTTCCGTTTCCTATTTTCATTAATATTTGCTAAAAATTCAATTTGTTTTCACTTTCTTTCTTGTTTTGAAAGATTAGCATAGGAAATTATGAAAACAATATTTGAAAACAGGAAACGGAATAAATAATAAGGTGACAGTTTTCCATTATTAATGATGAAAACAGAAATGTTTTCTCAGCTTTTGAGATTTTAGATTTGACCGTCTTAGTAATTTTAAAATTATTTACTTATTAATTTTTTTCACGTGCAAGCTGTATGATAGCAATCAGGTTGTGATAATATGTTTGCTCCCATGTTATGTTTAAACTTGCTAGTGGGAAGCTCTACCATTTCCATTGCAAACAATCTCATCAAACTTTCCACTGACTTTAATTCCACTTGATAAATAAATTATGTTTTGCAATTGAGATATCGATTGTGCTTTCAAATTGTAAGCTTGATTTGCTTAGTCTTCGGTTCTTAATGTAGAGTTTTGTTTATGGAGCAGAGCAGATACGCAGTCCACTTTGAGTTCATCTTTTTCTGTCTTATGCAAGGCAATGCAGGGGATGCATACCAGCTTGCTTTATGGTATGTAATTTAATTTTTAATGTGTTCTCTTTGCAGAATATTAAGTGTTGAACCATGATGCCAAGAGTGGATGATTTCATAACTTCTCATTACTAAATCATGTGGTGAGCTGGTTGCCTGGCATTGTCATTATATTTTTACCAGGGTTGTTTTTCAATAAAACCTAAATTTCTCTTAATGGTTTATAAGGTTGTAATGGTAATTATCATTGGTGTTCAATTCCTCCTGAGAGTTTGGACAAGTATCTTAATTCTATTATTCCAGAGGCCTTGGTACTTGACTGCCTGTTATCAAATCCAAACTAACTAAGAATGATGCTGCTTAATATTGCCCTTGTTTACTAGCATTTAAAGTAGGTAAGTTTTATCAATGTAGAAAAACAAACATAATTGCATAAAGTCAATATTCGAAATGATTGACACTGCCCCCAATGACGAGGATGAATTTGGGATTGGTCTCCTCCTTTTGGGGATGGATTAGTCCTTATAGTGACTTTTAAAGATACCTTGAATTGTCTGATGTCCTAGATAGATACTTAGGTTTAAGTGTTCTCATCATTCAAGAAGTGCCAAAGTGATGCATCGTTTGAGTATAACGTTTCAGTATTCTGGCAATTATAATTGCAGTTTGTTTCATTTATTTTCTGCTATCTTATTCAATATACATAGGTTAGGTTGCCTAGTAAGTACTCTACTGGCGTAGTTAAGTACTAGATACACTTCCAAATATATGCAAATTGATTCAAACAAGACCAAATTATCATGTTATGCTTTTGGCACCGAAGTGTATTATGAAATGGCTTCTAATATGAACTTTCCATTCACAAATAGTGTTCCTTCATTAATGGTGGTTTTCACTTCAAAAATACAAAAATACATGTCAGTGTTTGAAAAATTGTGTTATATTCCCTTGCTCTTTCTATCCTTTTTCATTTATTTTTGTCTTTTGGTTTCTCCTTTTCAGTATTGAACAAAACAAAGTTGATATTGATCCTGTGTTAAAGATGATGATGGGGTTGACATTCTATGAGATGTGGTATTCTTCAATCCCCAAAGAATTCCAGTGGAGAAACTCAGACCACCAGTTTGACTTGCAAGAGAACTCACATATGGAGATCCCATTTACCAATAAAACTGGACAGTCAGAGCCGTATAATTCAATTGAATCCCACATGGCTGAGTCCCATTGTCAACGTGATTCAGATGCCTCTATCATGAATGATAAGCATATATCTAGGGATGTTGTATTCAGTGAAGACATAGAGGTTGGTACTAATAAAAGAGAAAAAACACATCAGAACTTTCAGCCAGAAGGTTTTTACTTAAATTCTGAAGAGCAAAACGGATTTGGAGACCCTTTTTCTAACAGTGGAGGTCTTACACAAGATATCTTACACGGCCTTGGTAAGTGTTTTTTTTTTCACTTAACAGGTGGAATGAATATCTATATTCTGTCATGCACACCAGAATGAGAATGTGTATATGCTTATATGATTTTATATGAATTTTCCTACTTAATTTTTCTTTTTGGATGGAAAATATTGCTTAGATATTTCTCATGATCCTAATAAGGCTAGATTGTAATTTTTATCTTGCCAAGTATTACTTGTTTGCAGCAACCTAAGAGTAGTTTTGCTAAACAACCCCTCCCCCTATTACTATGGTTTATGTTTGAGATAAAGAAAATGAGGGTGTAGAGTTCCCACTGACTACTTGAAACTTCAGAAAATGCCACTAATTCGGCACTGAGACTCTTCATGTTTTTTCTTTTATCTATTTCTGTTTTGAGTGTGATATAATCCAACTGGCATGCTTTCACTGGATCAGAGCTCTAAATTGTTGTGGGTGACAATTTTCTTTCCCTTTGAATATCCCATGTTAATCTGTTTATAATTTTCAGAAGTCTGTGTTAAATACTTATATATTTTCAGTTCAGACTGGCTCCCCTACAGGAATATCTCTCTCTAGGCCTCCATTAGAAGAATAATTTATGATAGAGAGCTTACTCTTCCTGTGGTTATGATGTAGCCAGAGAGATTTCCCAGAGTAAATGACACTTAGTCAGCTTGTTAGTTTGAGTTAGTTTTTGATGAGGACAGCCTTTAATGAGGGTATATAATAAAGGATAAGGGAATATAGTATGGGATTTTTGTGCATTGGTTGAGAGGAACAGGTTACTCAAAATTCCTGGGTATGCTGTTTTCTATAATTGTTTCACTATTTAGTGAGTAACATAAACAGTCTCTTGTCTTCTCTGTTCCTTTACTCTTTCTTTTCTTGATTTTTGTTATATTCTTTTCTTTATTTCAGAGCTTATTGCTCATCATTTCTTGGTTTTGATAGTGATTACTCTCTGGTTTACTAGTAACTTTAATAATGTCTTTTTGTGCATTTACATAGGGGGACTTGATTTGTGGTTGCTGCCCTTGCATTTTTCTGATGAGAGCAATTTGGAGGAGTTCATGTATTTGCAAATAGATCAGCCTAATGACTATTACAAAAATTCAGTGAAATATTTGCAACTAGCTCTCAACTCAGAACCTTCTGCTTCGGCAGCATTACTTCCATTGGTACAGGTATAGATCATCCATTTCAAGTAACTTTGATGTTGCCACTAAACATCATTTTGTATTTCGTTCATGTTTGTTAAACTGAAAATCAGGTTCATAACGGTTGAAGCAATAATTTATTACATTACCTCCTGTACTTGCTCAAAAGTACTTTGTCTTAAGCTTTGCTTCGGGTGCTCCATGCGTTGTTGCACTTGTCCTCAGAACTGAATGGAGGATGTCTGCACAAGATTTTCCAATACTCAATTCAATAATCAGAGATGGAAGTTTAAAGAATTAAATACTCGAATAAATTGATTCAAAATTTATACTTTTTGAATGGGTCTGGGCCGTGATGGTGAATAATGTCACCTTGGCCCATAGTTAAATGGGGATAAACCATATTTATACCTTAATCATTTGGTTTTATGATTTAGTTTATTTTCATTACTTGTTACCTATTGGCTAAGTGTTGTGGAACAGGATGGTTCTCGGCCAAGGCCTGGTAACTCTAGGTCTTGGGTTGTACACCTCCTAGAAGGTTTAATTAGGATCTGCAGCTATTATGAATCTTTTCTACAATCATTTGATACATTCACCGATAGAGAAATGACCTGAAACTTTTTGTTTAAGTGAATCAAGATAAATTTGAATTCATTTCAAATAAATAATTTTGTATTACTTTTAGTTTTGAACTAATTCAGCATCAATTATGTTCTGGTGAACCATTTTCAAATTTTTAAACCATTTTGAAAGGGGAAGGATGAGAAATAAGGGAATTCTGGTTGAAACTAAAACTTGTTAGATGAAAAACCAATTGCGTACAGAATTTTGTTAAACTTAAAATTGGACTAGATTAAAGAACTAATTATTTCAATATTTTAGAAGTTGCCACTCTATATTAGGTAAGAACTAATTCTGCTGTGTCTGTACCTAATCTTCTTTTATTTTGGTATAATTGCAAGTCTTATTGTGGTGTTGATCAGTGCAATGCATTTATTCTTTGCATAATTCCTTAAAATTATAGGACTTGCACTGTATTAAACCATGCTGCTATTGTCAACAACCGGTCCCTGCTGCCTTTTCATACTTTTTCTTATTACTCTGCAAGTTTTTGGTTATAACTTTCCTTCCTAATGGATTTGCTACCATACATAATGGATATTTTAGTATTTTTTATTGTTATTCAAGTAGTTTGTGTTTGTTGAACTAGTGAAATGTGAAAGCATTAGACCATTTCAAGGAATTGATGAAATGAAAGGGAAAGTAATGCTTTTACTTGTGTATCCTTTAGGAATGCCAATGTTGCATTGAACCATGTGGAGTGTACCCAGGTTTCAATTCATTCTAAATATTAACATTGCATACCTTGATTGTGTTGTATTAGGACAATGATGTCTTTGTGCTTTCCTTTCAAAGGATATCCTTATGATGTATGTTAATACTATGTTTCGTCTTTTTACCAAAATGCTTAATGCACCTATAGCATATTATTATTGTTGTTGCATTACAGAAAAAGATGTAACAACCTTCTGTTAATAGTTTCTTAGGAACTTGCTGCAAAACGCCGAAACCATCTTCAACACTAAGAGGAGCTCATTGTTTTTCGTACTAGCTGTGTAGTTTGTTCCTGTGGCAATTGACATATCGTTCTGATGTCCTTAACTGTTTATAGGCATCTACCGCCTCTAATATTAGAAGCTTTTGGTATGTCCTTAACATTGTACTAGAGCCTCAATATATCAAATGATTAGAGGTTCAATCCTTGCAATTCCCATTGTTTAACCCGAGCAGACAAGACAACTATGTCCTTGTATCTGAGCTTTTGAAAGTCCTTTGTGCAACTGCGTGCTATTACTAATTGATTCTCACTCCTTCCATGTGCTTATTTTGTTATCCATCTTTGGAAATATCAGTAGCAAGTATTAAATGAAATCAATTATCCATCTGAAATTGCACAAAGCAACTGATTATGTTCAGCTTTGCAATTCTCACAGCGTATTCCCTTTCCTGGATGCACATGCACGTCCCTACTTTGCGTCTGTTATAGAAGTTATTTGACAGTTGTTTTCAGCATAGGATAATCTTTTAGATATAAAAAATGGCTTCACTTTATTTTTTATTGCCAGCTGTTGCTAATTGGAGGACAAGTTGACGAGGCTCTAAATATGCTTGAGAAGCAGTGCTGTAATGCAGCCTCTGTATTGCCATTAAGGTATATCCCCTATCTTTTTTAAGGTGCTCTTTGTTATGATTATTTAAGTTACTGATGTGCATACCCTTGTAGAGTGAGGGCTGCTCTCTTGGAGCGTTTTGATCGAAACAACTCTGGCATGCTTCTT